TGCCTCTGAGCCGAAGCAGAGAGGGGTGGCCAAGGCGGTGGTGCCAGAGGAGGGTCTCGTGAGACAGACGACGACACGAGCAGGGGGCAGACTCAGGACCAGACCTGGACGCTGCAGCAAACACCTGACCAGACGAAGGGACCCTACCAGACTCAGCACCTGGAGGAGAAGCAGTGGTCAGTGTGTACAGGCTCGACCCTGGCCGACGTGTAAACGTAGCCAGGTGGCGACCTGTATCCTCCTCCGTGCAGTGGGTCACCCGCTGACGAGCAGGGGTGAACTGGTGGACACCCGCATCCTGGAGGTCAGCACCACTCACCAAGTTCGTCGAGAACGAGGGGAGGTAGAGACCAGTCAGGGTGCCAGAGGGGGCCGCCGGACACGGGAGGACAGTGGAGAAGCGAGCCAGGACCGGCCCCCCAGAGGGGTCAGCCAGGGACACTGCAACCGGCCGACTCAGCGGCGTGAGAGTGGTGCGGTCCCTAAAGAAGGAGCGAGACGCTCCAGAGTCAAGGGTGAAGGTGTGAGAGGCCGAAGCCGACACAGTACCTGAGAGGGCAGACTCACCAGCACCTGAGAGCACAGACGCACTGGCACCTAGAGCAGCAGCCTCACTAGTACCTGACGCGGCAGTACCAATGCCCGGGTCGGGCGGGAAACACCGGTAACAGTCATCCTCATCACTACCAGTCACAGCATACATAGCAGAGAGAATAGCATCAAAGTCAAGATCATAAATAGCTACTCCAGCCCCAGACAGCTCTCCCCAGCGGGGGATCTCAGCGGCCTCCGGAAACTGCTGACGCCAGGCGTCGGTCAGGCGGCCAAAGCAGCGACGGGCTGTGTGGGCGCCTCCACACCTCTCCCCCGCACGGTCACCGGTGCGAAGAACGTAGGGGCAGGGACCAAGAGCACCACCGCGCTGACGCTGCAAGTACCACTCACGGAGCTGCTGAGGGCCGGGGACGGTGCGAGAACGCTGCTGCTGCTGCGGCTGCTGCTGCTGCTGCTGCTGCTGCTGCTGCTGGCGCTGACCACCCCCAGAGCTGCTCCGCTGGGACGAGCCACTCCGACCCCCGCCTCGATCACCACCCCCGCCTCCACCGCCACCCCCGTCTCCACCGCCACCTCCCCCACCAGGACCGTCGCTCCCACCTCTCCCACCGCCTCCTCCGCTACCACCTCCGCCGCCACCTCCGCCTCCACCGCCGCCACTAGTACCTCCACTCCCGCCACCACCTCCACCGCCACCCCCACTCCCCCCGCCACCCCCACCTCCTCCGCCACTGCCTCCTCGAGATCCACCCGCTCCCTTGCCCCCCTTGCCCTTGCCAGAGCGGCGTCTGCCGCTGGGGGCAGACGCCGCACCGACCGACTCAAAACCAGCGAGGTCGGCCGTAGCAGCAGAGGCGACAGAGGGCAGCAGGGGGGAAGGAGAACACCCCTCAAAGATGGGGGTGCGAGGGTCACCCCTAGAGGCCCCTACAGCGACTATACTCTTCTCAGCCGCTAGCAGGGACTCCTCAAGGAGGTCGACAGTGAGGGTGGTGGGACAGACAGAGAGAAACTGGTCCCTAACGACACGAAGGGACTCGGGAAGACGGGTGACGAGAAAGTAGAGAGTGATATACATGGGAGGAGGGTTTGCGGTGCGGAACTCAGCAGGAAGGGCAGCGCGGTAGCGAGCGTCACTAGCACGGAGGTGGGTAACGAGGTCAGCGACAGTGGGAAAGGAAGCGAGGTCAGGGAAGAGAAACGGTAGCATGAGGCGGCTAAGGGTAGCGGAGGAAGGGGAGGAGTAGCGTGCAACTACAGCGTCGTACAAGGCCTGAGCGGTCTTGCACTGACTAAAGTGGGCACGCTCAGAGGAAGGGAGGTGGCGACGCACAACAAGACGTGCAGCAGCATCGCGGGTCGCCCACTTGGAGCGAACGGCAGAGTCAGCATCAGCAGGCGGGGCAGGGACAGCTCCAGAGACAAAGTCAAAGAGAGAGACCTCATCTATCGCATCACACAGTAAGTACAGCTGTAGGTCTTCAATCCAGACGGCAAAGTCAATGGCCCTCCCCTCAGCGTCAAAAGTAAGAACATTGGGGGTGGCCATGGCAGCAGCCGAAAGTCTCACCGGGCTGGAGGAGTCGGGTAGGTCAGCAGCAGAGGAACACAGCTCAGGGACAGCAGCACGGCTCCTCAGGTGGCTCGCGTGGCTCAGGCGGCTCGGGCGGCTCGGGCGGCTCGGGCGGCTCGGGCGGCTCGGGCGGCTCGCGCGGCTCGGGTGGCGTAGGGGCTCACGGGCGGCGCGGGCTGCTGGGGCTGCTCACGTGCAGCACGGCGGGCTGCAGCAGGGCCGGTGGCGGGCTGTAGCAGGGCCGGCGGCGGGCTGTAGCAGGGCCGGCGGCGGGCTGTAGCAGGGCCGGCGGCGGGCTGTAGCAGGGGCCGGTGGCGGCTGTAGCAAGGGCCGGTGGCGGGCCTAAGCGGGGCCAGCGCGGGGCCGACAGGGCGTAGGTGGGGCCGGCGCGGGGCCGAATAGGGGCCTAAGCGGGGCCGACGGAGCCTACGCGGCCCCGACACGGGGCCGAGACGGGGCCTGGGCGGGGCCTACGCGGGGTCGACGAGGTGTACGCGGGGCCTACGCGGGGTCGACGAGGTGTACGCGGGGTCGACGAGGTGTACGCGGGGTCGACAAGGTGTACGCGGGGCCTACGCGGGGTCGACGAGGTGTACGCGGGGCCTACGCGGGGTCGACGAGGTGTACGCGGGGTCGACGAGGTGTACGCGGGGTCGACGAGGTGTACGCGGGGTCGACGAGGTGTACGCGGGGCCTACGCGGGGCCGACGAGGGGTACGCGGGGCCTACGCGGGGCCTACGTGGGGCCGACGAGGGGTACGCGGGGCCTACGCGGGGCCGACGAGGGGTACGCGGGGCCGACGAGGGGTACGCGGGGCCTACGCGGGGCCGACGAGGGGTACGCGGGGCCGACGAGGGGCCTAAGCAGGGGCCGACGAGGGGCCTAAGCGGGGCCGACGAGGGGCCTAAGCGGGGCCGACGAGGGGCCTAAGCGGGGGCCGACGAGGGGCCTAAGCGGGAGCACGACTGGAGGGGCGACTCGGAGGGTCGCTAAAAAAAAATGCGCGCCTCGGGGCGCGCTTCGGTGGGCCCTAGGAACAGGCCCTAGGAAGGGACCTGCTCTGATTCCATGAGAAAGTACGAACGAGGAGTGAAATGACTATGAATGAAGTGAGTACAAATAGGAAACCCTAATTGGGTTGTACCCCCTATGGGATACCCCACTATAGCCTACAGAAACAAGTAAGCTATGAGTTCTGACACTCCGTTCGGGCTGCGACGATTCGGGCAGTTCCGCTTGATGTGCCCCATCTTCCCGCATTGGTAGCACATGACGTTTGAGGCATTATGTGGTTGCCGCTCCATCATTCCCAACTCTATGGGTGTAGGACCGTTTGCACGAGCAGCTGGAGCGTGATTCGTGTGACCCATCCTCATGCCGTTGAAGCGTTGGAACGCAACGAAGTTGATCGTGTCGAAGCGTTCTGCCACACGGATCATATCATCCATCGACGTGCATCCGCGAAGCTCCACTTCAGTGCGAATTTTTGGTTTCAGCCCACGCTTGAACTTATCCATCTGCTCGGAGGCAGGGACGTCGAGAATCTCCAGCACCAACTCCCGGAAGCGGTTGACGTATTCGGCTACGGAGCGGTGTTGGCGTAGTGCAGCGAGGTTGGCACGAGCGCGTTCAATCGCGTTGACAGGTTCGAAATTCATGGTGAGCGATGTTGAAAACTCTTCCCAGGTTGAAATTGTAGCGTGGAAGCTATGCCACCAAGTAGCAGTAGCACCTCGCAGCATCATGCCGGCGTGCTTCGCCCATTCGGCTTGGTTCACGTGGCATAGGGAAAGGTACTCCTCCATTTCGAAGAGCCATCTTCGCACAGGTAAGTTCCGTTTTCCAGGAACAAACGGCTCAGGTTCAGATGCTTTCAGACGTGCAGAGACCACAGCAGGTGCTGGCGCCGGCACCTGTGTGCCCAGGAGTCCACGTTCCTGGAGTTCGCCGAGGATCCGGTCACGCACCTCGCGTTCAATTTCTCACCGCATATTGGCGACAAAATCGTTCAAGAGTTCCGGAGTCATATCAGACGGCCCAGCCATAGGGTCTAGAATATGGCAGGAGCGTGCGAAGTGACTAACCAGGATATGATACCATTGAAACGTTGCTGGTAGGGAAGTAGCAACCTTAGTGGGCTAAGAAACGGGTATGAAGTGCTCTCTGGAGTTCTCTGGAATTTGCAATATGACTTAAACAAATTTCACACATAATTTTATACGATCCATTCACAAATCGAGTCGCATTACCAAGTCGCGACACTCTGAATTTCTTATTGGTAACTCTACCCCTTGAAATGAACCTTGCCGTGAAATTCAGAGATTGATTGCGATGCGGGACTGGACGGCGCTTGTTTACATGGCTGTAATTTCGTCGGCACCGTTGGCGAAGTTGGCGAGGGGTTGGAACTTGACTTTTCTGCATTTCGTAATTTTCGCGTGAGGGTGTGGTTTGGGCTGCGTGTCTTCAGGTGGGCGCCCAAATGCTGGGAGGGGAGGCTGACCAATTCCAACCTTGCGTGGTTTGGGAGTTTGCAGCCTCCCACTAGCCGCCGGTGGGTTGGCACTGTGCGGCTGCCCAACAATAACAGTGCGCTGCCACACTGTTGCAACTCGCTTTCAATAGCGGATCATCACCCATTACGGCCTCACGCCATCTCGCAAGCGTTCGAGGTCCCTTTTGCACGAGCAACAAAGCGCGTCTCATTGGGGTGGGTGTGTTGCGTGCTGAGGACGAACGTGCCCCGCTCATCACCACGCCCGTGCCTGTCGCACACACCCACCCTACCCTATCACTCTCGCGTCTCTCGCGCGCTCACATTCGCGTCGCACGCTCTCACACACTCGCGAACGCAATAGCTGCGCCGGCCGCATGAGTTGCCATGGTGACTTTCCCATTCCTTCCCCTTTCCCTCCCTTTCCCTTCCATTCCTTTCCCTTTCCCTCCCTTTCCCTCCCATTCCTTCAACTTCCCTCCCATTTCCTCCCATTCCTTGCCCTTCCCTCCGCTCCCCTCCCCTCCCCTTCCCTCCCCTTCCCTCCGATCCCCTCTCCTCCCCTTCCCTCCCCTTCCCTCACCTCCCCTCCACTCCCCTCGCCTCCCCTCCCCTTGCCTCCCCTCCACTCCCCTCCCCTCGCCTCCCCTCCACTCCCCTCGCCTCCCCTCCCCTCCCCGCCCCTCCCCTCTGCTCCCCTCCCCTCCCCTCCCCTCCCCTCCCCTCGCCTCCCCTCCCCTCCCCTCCCCTCCCCTCCGCTCCGCTCCGCTCCCCTCCCCTCCCCTCCCCTCCCCTCCCCTCCACTCTCCTCCCCGCCCATTCCGTGCACATCTCTCCCCCACCCGCCAGTGTCGTCTCTATATAGCCAGCGCCACTCCGCCCCGCCTCTGCGAGTGTGGGAGAGGCGCCTGCGTAGCGGCGCACGAACAGAATCGAGACTCCCCTTACGGGGTGAGTCACTCCACTCTATGCCCCTCCATTCCCCTCCATCCATGCCCTTCCTCTCATCGCTTCATGGTTAGTCCTTATGATTCCCACTTTGTTCTGTTTCCCTTTCATGGTTGTGCGTGGGAGCAGCATGCTCAAACTGCAAGGTCCCTAACATATTGCAAGCGGTCATTTCTCTGCAGGTCGCCAGTTTTTGCAAGAATGTTTAGCAGCTCTGCAGGTCATAGGAATTTTAAGTTGAAGGACATTGACAGTGCAGCACTGGATGGGCTACTTACTTTTATGTACACAGGCGAGCTGCACATACAGACTATGACCCGGAAGGTGAGAATGAGCAGGTTTGTTTCTCATGCCCCCGAATGCATTCTGGAGAAGACAACTTTGCTGCTTCTGTTGTGCTGCTTCTGCTTGTGTGGCTGTGCAGGAACTGGAAATCTTGGCAGCAGCAGACTTATGCCAAGTGCTGGAACTCAAAGAGTATCTTGACAAGTGTCTGCACGCTTTTCTCGTGGTTGGAGCATCTGATCCGGAGCGTTTGACTCGGTAAGCATGTTGATGTGAAATGGCTAACATGGTATAGCATGTTCGCCTCTTACAGATGGCATAGCATCTATGTGGAATTTTTTTTGCTGTTGCGGTACTGTGCTGTGCATAGAACATTGTTGTCAGATAATGAAGGGGAGAGAGCGAAGGCAGTGGATCTCTAACAGAAGGCTTCAAAAGAGGCTTGATCGTATATTTTTCTCTTTCTCATGCGAGATCTAGTTTGATGAGACTGATGTGGTATCTTCATGGCTTTATCAAAGGGTTCTGGTTGTCTCATACCATTATCTCCTGTAAGACGAGGGCTGATCCATCAGCATAATGTTGGACTAACTCCCAACATTTTTTTGCCATACGCTTTCCTTATGTTTTTTGGGCACACTGTTTGAAAGCCAAGGTCATTCGGCATTTCATGGCCAAGTCTGGATTGGATAGGCCCTTGTTTGATCTGGGCAAGAGCGTTATAACACAAAAGCTTCGGATTAGTGTGCGTCAGACTTTATTTGCTGTCAGTTTAGTGTCTGTGGTAAGAGAAAGGTTTTGTGCATTCTATGGTACAGTGGTTTATTTGTACCAGCACTTTAAACCGTCACCCACAAGTCTGAACAATGATTCATGAGCTGAAAACGAACTACTAGTATGGCACCACACATCCCGATCATGCTTGGCTAGGATCAAAAGCTGAAAGCATTGCTCGTACAGAACTTCAATTCTTTTCGAAGGCATTTCCACTGTCGCAGCTAATGTAGGATATTGTGTCAGTTCACAGCAGTCTTCACTGTGGCAGGAAGAGATTTAAGTACTTGGAGTTGCACAAGAAAATACTGTAGATCAGACAATACATGTTGGCACTCATGCCAGTTGCTCATGCACTCACGGCAATTGTTCCTGGCCCCGTCAACTCAGCACCAGTGCTTACAGCGGGGAAGGGGATATTGAAGAAGTGGCAGTTGGGCAGGGAGGGCAGCAGTAAGCATGCAGGTGGTCATGCACTCAGCTTTGCAGCGCATGCTTCAGCACATGCGTCAACGCATGCATCAGCACATGCATCGGCATGAGCACTAGTGGGTGCGGTAAGGAAGGAGATAGTGAAGTAGAAGCAGTTGGGAAGGGAGGGCAGGGCGAGGCTGGCCATGGGATGGGCGAAGGGTATGCGGAAGGGGTTCAGACGCACCTGCCAGGAGAGGGGGGCGAGGGGAGAGAGTGGGAATGGACAATATGAGGGATGGGAAGGGACAATCGGAGGGATGGGGAGGATCGGGAGGGGCAACCAAAGCGGTCGAGAGCAGTGAGGCATGGTGAGGGGATGATTTGGAGAGGTGGTGAGAGGTGAGAAGGGTAGGTAGGGGCATTATGGGGAGTGGTAAGGGGTGGGAGGTGTGGCGAGGGGTCAAGGACATGAGGCATGGCTTGGCTGTCTGCATTCAGTTTAAGACATGTTTGTCAGGACCTCATCCCTGTTTTACCATGCATTGCTTGGATAGAGTAAAGTAAACCACCCAGAACCTAGATCCAATAAACAACCAGGAGTTTTTCAAAACCAAGGTGATGCACCCAAAACCAAACTTGGCCCAATTATTTGGTCCCCATGGTGGTTGAGAGATTGATGGACCCCCTATAATCTTGGCTCACTATTGACCAAGCTTATTTGGGACCCAAACAAATCCAAGACCCAAGAAAAATAGTTTGGGTCAAGGTCCTTACCCACCCACCTTCCCTTCTCACACTCATGTACACCATTTCTAACTCCCTTCACAATCACAGTTATATTCAATGGACCTCCTTCCTTTCATTTGCTTCCTTCACAAGCCCAGACTACCTTGCCGATGACGGGCTGCAGTGCAGCACCGCGGCTGCTGCAGCCCCTCCTCTCGCCACTCCTTTGCACCTCAGCAGGCAGCGAGCAGAGAGCCTCCCTGGCCTAACCGTTGTCTCCTTTGACCCCCGCCTACCTCGCTGATGACAGGTTGCAGCACAGCTGCCGGAGCTTTCGCCACCCCCTCGCACCGCCTCTCCCCCAGGGCACCTTTCCACGTCGACAACCAGCGAGCAGAGCACTTCCAAGGCTCGCTGTGCTGCCTCGTGGCTGTAATCTGTGATGAGTGCTGGGAGCTTCTTGCGCAGCATGAGAACCTGGTGGCAAGAGGGATGGGGCAGCACGGTGATCTGAAGGCCTGGCGGCGAATTAAGGGATGGGGCACATGGGTGCAGCATGAGGGTCTCGCGTTGACAACTAGCGAGCGGAGCACTTCCCCGAGCTCGCTGTGCTGCCTCATGGCTGTAATCCGTGATGAGTGCTGGGAGCTTCTGACACAGCATGAGAGCCTGGTGGGAGAAAAGGTATGGGAAGTATGGTGCCACCAGGGCTGGCTGTGGCGCCTCCCTACCTCTCTGTTTCGCTGTGCTGTGCTGCCTCGAAACCAGCTAAGTTGGTTCCGTTCGTTTTTGGACCCACATAATCGTAATATTACTCGTAAACGTACATGTAAATACGTGTAACTTATATTCGGGTAGGGAAGAAAAATGCCAAGAAGGGCCGCCAACTACAGGAGTGGGACAAGAGGCATGATGTGAGACAAACAATGTGGAATGGTGTGAAAACCAGCACACATGAAACCCGTCACCACAAACTATATGGGCGATGGTCGAAAGATCGTTGCAGCACCTTTCGGTTGTGCACGAAACAATCGGATTTACAGCAAAAATGAGGGCACAAGGTTGTTGGGCAGCCCAAAAAAAGTTGTAATCTGCCCGCAAACGTAAGCAATTTTCAGCTCCGCACACATAATGTAAGACGTACGTAAATGTACGCGTAATATCCAACTTAGCTCGAAACTGTGGGCCATGATGAGTGCTGGCAGCCCAGCGGGGAGACAGGGTGGGCAGCATGAGATGGCGCAAAGGAGCGGATAGTGGAGCCCACCTGCAACCCCCCATCATACCTTGCGGCGCCTCCCTGCCTCCCTGCCTCGCTGTGCTGCCTCGTGGCTGCAGTCCGTGATGCGCGCTGGCAGTCCACAACGCAACATGAGGATCTGGTGGGAGAAGAGGGATGGGGCAGAACGATGCTGTGCGATGCGAACTGGCTGTGGCGCCCAAGGCACCTGTGGCGCTCAAGTCACCTGTGGCGCCTCGATTCCTCTCTGGCTCACAGTCAGTGCCGCCTCGATGCCTCTCTGGCTCACAGTCAGTGCCGCCTGGATGCCTCTCTGGCTCACAGTCAGTGCCGCCTCGATGCCTCTCTGGCTCACAGTCAGTGCCGCCTCAATGCCTCACTGGCTCGCAGTGAGTGCCACCTCGTGGCTGTAGTCTGCTAGTTATGACACACAGGCCACCACACAGCATGAGGACCTGGTGGAGGGGAAAGGTGGGGGACAGCACGAGGTGGCGCAGAGGAGAATGTGGTGCGGCCCGCCCTCCGTACCTTTCAAAGAGAATGTGGTGCGGCCCGCCCTCCGTACCTTTCAAAGAGAATGTGGTGCGGCCCGCCCTCCGTACCTTTCAAAGAGAATGTGGTGCGGCCCGCCCTCCGTACCTTTCAAAGAGAATGTGGTGCGGCCCGCCCTCCGTACCTTTCAAAGAGAATGTGGTGCGGCCCGCCCTCCGTACCTTTCAAAGAGAAAGTGGTGCGGCCCACCCTCCGTACCTTTCAAAGAGAATGTGGTGCGGCCCGCCCTCCGTACCTTTCAAAGAGAATGTGGTGGGGCCCGCCCTCCGTACCTTTCAAAGAGAATGTGGTGCGGCCCGCCCTCCGTACCTTTCAAAGAGGAAAATGTGGTGCGGCTACCAGTCATGCCTCCTGGCTCTAGTCCGTGACGAGTTCTGGTAGCATCCACCCACGCAGCACGAGGAAATGACAGACAGGGGGCGGGAGAGGGGGAGGGAGCAGGGTGGTGTGAGGGCTGTAGGGTAGTGGTTGGCGCAGAAGGGAGTGAGCCAGCGTCGTGCCTTGTGACAGCCCGTGGGCGCAGCATGCGCATCCGATGAGGGGCAATGATGAGCGTTGGAATCCAAGGGGTGCAAGGTGACAGTGAGGCAGCATGAGGGCCTAGCGGCAAACAGAAGCAGGGTCGTGTGACGTGAGGAATGGAAGGGGGGTGGATGCTGCAAAAAAGAGTGAACACTGGGGCATGCCGCGTGGGTGAATCTGGTTGCAGGACTGGTGGGGTGAGTGCAGTATGAGGGCTGGCACGGAGGGGCGGGGTGGGGGAGGACAGGGACACAGTCTGTGATTGGTGGAATGAGCGTGGCTGTGATTGGTGCAAGGGGAGTGGCTGCAGGGCAAGGAGCAGCACCACTGAAGGACGTAACTGGTGGGATATGGAGGGGATGGAGAGTGCATAAGATCAGAAAGGGAGAGTGCATAAGATCAGAATGGGAGAGAGCAGCATGGGAGCAGCATCTTCATCCCCATCTGCCTGCAACTTGATGCAGTCGGGCACTTGCCTCACCCCCTTTTCGACTGGACTATAGAGCCCCCTTCTCCTCCTTGCACAACTTGCTGTGCGTCCCACCCATCGCCCCTGCTGGGGATGGGAGCACAGCTGGGGATGGGAGCAAGTACGCAGAGTATGCAGGCATATGGTGCAAGGAGTGAGCCCACCGTGATTG